ATCAAGCCCTCAACCTGAGCATGTGCCCTGACCAGGAATTGAACTGTGACCTCCTGGTTTATGGGCTGAAACTCAACCACTGAACCCCACCAGTGGGGCTATTTTATTTTGCTATACTAAAGGCCCAGTGCAGGAATTTGTGCATGGGTGGGGTCCAGCTGGCCCAGCTCCAATCGGGAGGTTGGCTGGCTGGCCACCATGATCAGGGCTGGGCCAGCTGTGGGAAGGGGGGGTCATGGGCCATTGCCCGGCAAGCCCCATCTTCTGTTGGGGTTGGGGGGGGGACTTATTGGGGGTAGGACCAGGCCATGGGGAGGGGCTGTGGGTGGTAGGCCAGCTGGCCCCACCCCAAAATGGGGTGGGGATGTGCTGATCGAGGTCCCGTGGCCTGGGGAGGGGCCATGGTTGGTTGGTTGGCTGGTCCTGCCTCTGATAGGGTGGTAAGGGCCCATAGAGAGTGTGGCCAGCCAGACCAAGGGGCTTAAGAAGGTTGGCCAGCCAGCCCCACCCCATATTGGGGTGGAGGGTATGATCAGGGGTGGGCCGGCCAGGGGGAGGGGCTGTGGGCCTATCGTGGTGGGGAGGGCTGATCAGGAGAGGGCTGGCAGGGGAAAAGGGTAGGGTGGGGGCATTTGGCTGGAGGCCCACTCTTGATCAGGGTGGGAGAGACCGATTAGGGCCAGGCTGGCAGTGGGGTGGGACGGTGAGGTTAGTCAGCCAGCCTCACCCCTGATTGGGCTGGTTCGCTTACCACAGTGGGTGTCATAATGACCAGTCATTATGGTTGTTATGGCTGTTATGGTTGCTGGCTTTATATATATATATATATATAGATATATATATATTGATAGATAGATAGATAATTATTTTTTAATTTTCAATTACATTTGATATACAATATTATATTAGTTTCAGGTGTATACCTCAGTGATTAGACATTATAAAACTTATTAAGTAATCATCACAATAAATCTCATACCTATCAGACACCATACATAGTTATTAGAATATTATTGACTATATTCCCAACGCTGTATTTTGCACACCATAACTATTGCCTGTGATTAGAGTACTATATTGGTAAAGTATGAAAAAATGAATTAGACTGGGGGACTATCATGGTAATTAGGTCACAGAAACCATTCTACTAAGGCCTAACAGTGTCTACCATAGTGTGGGCATGTAGTAATTGTTTTGTAAAAAGTAATTATAAATAAGCATTTTAATGAATTTTCTGATATATGCTAAATCTGTTCACCTAGTGAGTATAGTCTGCCATTTTTGCAAATAAGTTTTCTAACTTTTTTTTTTTCTTTTTTAATATTCTCTTGGCTCCATTGATTTCTGCTTTTGTAATCCCTACTGTGTGTACATGAAAGTTGATATATATTGCCTTTCTCTTTCTCATTCTACTTTAGAAGACTTGTGAAAAATTTTCTAAAGTCTCTTTTGCTTTATTATGTTATATACACTAGAGGTCCAGTGTATGAAATTCATGTATGGGGTGGGGGAGGTTCATCTCAGCCCTGCCTGTACCCTCTCCAATCCGAGACACCTTGGGAAATATGACTGCTGGCTTAGGCCCAATCTGGGCCTAACTGGCAGTCGGACATCCCTCTCACAATCCTAAATTGCTGGCTTCTAACTGCTCACCTGCCTGCCTGCCTGGTTGCCCCTAAGTTCCCTCCCTGTCTCCCCTGCCCTCCTCCCTCGCCAGCCTGATCAGCCCTAACTGCCTTTCCTGCCAGGCTGATCACCTCTAACTGCCTCTGCCTGCCAGCCTGATCACCTGTAACTGGTCCCCTGCCATTTTGGTTGCCCATAACTGTCCCCTGCTGCCAGCCAGGTCGCCTCCAACTTTCCCCTTTCTGCTGGCCTAGTTGCTTCTAACTGCCCCCCACCACGCTGGCCTGGTGACCCCTTACTGACCCCTCTTCTGGCCTGGTCACCCCTTACTGACTCCCTGCTGGCCTGGTTGTCCCCAACTGCCCTCTTCTGGCCTAGTTGCTCCTCACTGTCCCCCTACTAGCCTAATATCCCCCAACTGCCCCCACTTACCAGCCTGGTCACCCCTAACTGCACCCCCTGCCAGCCCAGTCATCCCCAACTCTCCCCCTTGCTGGCTTGGTCACCATGAACTGCTCCTCTGCCAGCCTGGTTGCTCTTCATGTCCCTCTTCCCCCCCAACTGGTCTGGTTGCCTGATGCAGCCTGCTTGTTCAGTTGTTTGGTCGTCTATCACTAACTCCCTGTTGGCCTGGTTGTAGGCAGTCATCTTGTGAGAGTGTGAGGGTTAATTTACATATTACCTCTTTATTATATAGGATTGTGCAACCTACTGTTCCAGTGTCTCCATCATACTTTAAAATGTTATCATATTTTTCAACTTTATTATTGCCTGTTACAGAAATAAGCAACATTCCTCTAAATCTTACCAAGATTACAAACAGACATTTGTTGTAATTCCTAGTATTTTTCTCATTTAAATTTCTAATGATTCATGTGCAATGACTTTTCTCTTTATAACAGTTTAATTTTTTTAGTATCTGAATTTAAATGGATTTTGCAGATGATATATGGGTTTCTGGACAAATTTTTCTTGAATAGTTGAAGAAGAAAGGAGCTGTTCAAATCAGTTGTAGTTTTACTTTGCTGAACCAGAGATCTTGAATTTTATACATATGAGGGGGCAGAAGGAAGAAGGGGGTAAGGATGATGGAAAATAAAGATGTAGCTGTCAGAGAGGTAATTTTAATACCTCTGGTCTTATTTTGAGTAAACTGTTGTACCTGATAGTTAACCTGGAAAGCCCTCCACCCCGCCCTTCTCCAAATGGTATAAATAACGCCACTATGCAAGGACCTCACTTTACCTGGCATGCTGTTTGTACCAACCACAAACACAATTTGAGTACATGGTCACTTCTCATTGGTGTTTGGCATCTGGTGAATTATTTCGCTAATTAAAAATGGTCTAGACTTAGCTTTTCCTATAGTCCACTGACATTGGAATGTTCTCAGTGTTAAAACTAGTGGTGTTGGTTGTATGTTGTTGCTGATGTTTACCATTAGGAGTGGTGCCTATCAGGGGCACTCTGTTAAAGATGAAAGGGAGTCTCTTCCCCTAAGCTCTTATTTCCTAAGCACTATTTTCCTTTGCATGAGTTGAATTATAGATTGAACATCTCTTCTCACTCAATGCAAATTTCCCTATAAAACAGAAGAAAAAAAAATTCCTTTTAAGTTATTGACAGAAATTCTAGATCACTGGTATGAATTTTATTACAGATTATCATTTGATGACCACATTTCAAAAACGCTTTTGCACTTTTGAAAAGGAAGAGGAAAGATAAAAGTGTAATGTTAAGAATACCATACACATTGATTGCTGTTTAAAAACAAAAATAATCAAAGAAATATATCAACTATATTTTATTTCAGTTATTTGATTGTTGGTATAAATAATCTACTAGTCCATTATTAAAGTTCATACTCTGATGGAATATATGCATCCTATTAAATTAATATTTGAGTGATCTCTTAACTACCATATTCTATGAAAAATAGAATTAGATACTAAGCATTCCATGTATAAATAATTACTTAAAATTTTAAAATTATAACAATTTTAGAGTGAGTGAGTCTTTAAATGTGTCCTTCTTTGGCACAGAATAATGTCTTTCTCACTGAAATTCATTAAAAATTGTAATTATTTTGTCTTATTAATATGAAAATCTTGTAGCAGATTAGTTTATATAAAAGTTAAATGTGGTGTAATTTCTGAATAAAAACAAATACATCTTTGATTTCTTCTTAGTAATTTGAATATTGAGAATTATCTATATATTAGATACCCAGTTCAGGAAATTCATGCACAGGGGTGGGGGTGTCCCTCAGCCCAGCCTGCGCCCTGTCCAATCTGGGATATCCCTCTTATAATCCAGGACTGCTGGCTCTTAACAGTTTCTGCCTGCCAGCCTGATCACCCCCAAACTGCTTCCCTGCCAGCCTGATCACCCCCAACTGCTCTCCCCTGCCGACCTGGTCACCCCCAACTGCTCTCCCCTCCTGGCTTGCCAGCCCCCAACTGCCCTTCCCTGCTGGCCTGGTCAACACTAACTGCCCTCCCTTGCCAGCCTGATTGCCCACAACTGTTCTCCCTGCTGTCCATCTTGTGGTGGCCATCTTGTGGAAGAAATCTTATCACAATGTGAGGGCAGCCATCTTGTGATGACATTGTGCGAGAGCATGATACCACCTAAGCTTTTGATATATAGGATATATAAAAGCCTAAGCGACTGTTATAACCAAATGACCAGAATGACCAGTCGACCAGTCATTATGACGTGCACTGACCACTGGTAGGCAGATGCTCAACACAGGAGCTGCCCCCTGGTGGTCAGTACTCTCCCACAGCCAACCCATGGCCTTTCCCCACAGCTGGGCAACCTCCCATGACCCCTCCCCCTCCCTGGCCAGCCAATCCCTCTCCCACAGTCCTTCTCCCCGGCACACTGGTCCTCCCATTGGCCCTGATGGGGGACAGGGGGAACTGACCAGCTAACCTCCCATGGCCCCTCCCCCCAGCCAGCTGGTCCCTGATAGGCCTCGATTACCAGCCAGGCTGCAGGACCCCACCCATGCATGAATTCATGCACCAGGCCTCTAGTTTGAACATAATTGTAAAGGAAATTGAAGTTATATTCATTTTTAACTTTTTTGACTATACAATATTTGCAAAATAACATTAGTTGTTACATATGTAATTGTAACTAAACTTAATAAAATATATAATTTTATGTTACATAATTTTAATTTTACTATAAAACTGAAAATAAAGCAACTTTATCAATGTTTAAATGCAAAAATCCCTGTTATTTCTCTGAAATATACAATGAAATACAAAATACATAAAATGAAATCAAATGTATAAGCAAATTTATAAATGACACAGAAAATAAACTCTATTATTTGAAATTAGAAATCATATACCTGGAGCTTAAGGTATCACAGTATAATTCACATATTTTATAAGTAATTTCAATAAAAAAATAATTTTTTACTTATACATAGTCCCAATCAATAGACAAACTTCACATTTTTGGAGATCTTTATTAATCCACTACCATACTCCTGCTCTCTGTTCTTGGTTTCCAGTGCTTTCAAAAAACATGAAGTCCTAAATAAAAACAAAATACAGAAATGAGTTTTCAGTAATAAAACTGAGATCAATTCTTCATGCATAAATGCTAAGGGATATGAAATATGATGAAACAGAATGACACATCTGCTAACCAAGAAAATTGACTATTATAAATAGATCTGGGAAAAGTTGATAGCTTCAGCTTCCCATTTTAATAGCAATTAAAATCCTATAATTCTGATCACTTATTAATATCTGTATGAATTTAGTTATCTGATAATTTCTCTCAACTTCACTTTTTCTCAGGTCTCCTGTAATGACTCTTTTTGAATCTTTCTTCCTAAACTTTTTATATTCTTTCTCTAATAATATAACTTTTCTTAAGACTGCAATACCATATACAACTTTTAGATTTATTTCAGGGCATCTTAGAGTTAGAATACCACTTAGAATTGTTTGGCCCAGTTTTATGATTTCTCTTCCAAGTATTCCCAGCTGGCCTCACTCCATCAATGCCTAACTAGATTTTCTCCTCCATGACTTAAAGTAAAGTCAAATCCTATGGATTTTGTCTCTCACATCTATCATTTTCCTTTATCCCATCAACAGAAATAAGTTAATCCTTCTTTGAAATTACTTGCAATTACTCTACTGCAATTATACCTCTCTTCAATCCATTTCTCAGTCACCAGGATTTATCTTTCTAAAATTTGGATTTATAACTATTTTACTTATAGCTATTTTAAATGTAATGAGTTAACTAAACCATTTTCAATGTCTTCTCAATGTCTATTAGACGTTGCAGTCCTTAAAAGTCCTTTAGTATAAGCCCAATCTATCTCATAATCATTTACTAACAATCCCACTACCACCCCCATCCCCATGTCCAGACATCATATACTGCCTTATCTTCCCTATACCATTACATAATTATCAGATCTTAAAAAAATCAATAAGTCATTAATTATCAATAGCCAGTCAATGTTGAAATTTCTATGAATGCCTGTACATGTCTTTTTATACTGGTTTGTTCAATGCAGTATAGTCTACAAGCTGCATTAAGTTGATGTCTTTAAAGACTCTCTCATTTTATTATCTTTTTTATTTTCCTGACATTTATTTGTTGAAGGAAATGGATCCTTTTGCTGTATATTCTCTCATATTTTATTTTTTTCTGAGTACATCCCCAAATAAACATTTAAGATAGTATTCATTTAGATGTTCCAAACCTTGCTTGCAGATTGAAATCACCTGGAAGTGATGTAAACATCTTGAAGGCTTGGTCCCATTTCCAGAGATTTTGATTGACTATTTGGGTGCAGTCTTGATACAGGCAGTTTAAAAAGCTACCTAGGTGTTTCTACTGTGTAGCTAAGATTGAGAACTGTTGTTCTCTCCCAGGTCTCCTTGATTTTGGTTGCATATTGAATCACTTGGAGAGCTAAACAACAAACTTTTGATTGTGAGCTTCTGATTTAATTGAATGGGGGTATGATTTGGTATTTGGGGTTTTTGAAATCTCCCTAAATGACTTAATGGAAGACAAGTGTAGAATCACTGCTCTATTCTGTGTGTGTCTACTGGCAGTTCCATCTGGTGGCTGGATTGGATGCACTTTTATTGCAGTTCACACTCAAGTAGTAGAACATTTAATTTAATAATGAATCAGGACAAAATCTCCCCATTTCACTGGGTTCTACTCCACCTTAGTCCATATCTGAGTGCACCTATTTTGATGTTTAAATAGAAGCCCCAAAGACCTCTATAAGACACAGTCTTTCTTATTGCCATGTGAAACTAGAATTTCCTGAGAAATTAGTCACCTGTGAATTCAGACCATCAGAAGAAAATGGCATTTCAGAGCTAGGATTAAATGGCACCCCCTTTGAATAAAATCTATAAATTTAAGGAAGTTATTTAAAAAGGTACACTTTACTAAATTGTTCAGAATGATATTAAAGAAATACCCAAGATTAGCAAGAATATGCTTACAATGAGGAAACATGCACCAAGCATCACAGCTTTCATTTTCACATCAAGGTCTAAAGGGAACTGGATCCCAAAGTTATCAGCATCTGTAAATGCCTCTCTCACAAAACCAGTCCATTGCTTGGAAATCTTGCCAATCACATTTTCTTCATCAAGAGATTTAATCTAAAAAAAAAATAAAAAATAAAAATAAAAAATGATGGTCTTAAAGAACTCTAGAAAACTAATAATAAAACAACTTTCAAATCTGTAATAAAATGAAACAAATGTGTTATTATATTAAGCTTACATGCAATACATAACTATGAACAGTATATTGGTAATTGGATACATATAAATTCCTGTATTTACAGATACATGAAAAAATTGTTTCTTTGCTACAGAAAACTTATATCAAAGTAGTTTTACTGCCTGGCCAGCTTGCCTCAGTGCTGAGCATTAACCTATGAACCTGGAGGTCACGGTTCGATTCCTGGTCAGGGCACATGCCAGTTGCAGTAGGGGGTGTGCAGAAGGCAGTCGATCAATGATTCTCTCTCATCATTGATGTTTCAATCCCCCTCTCTAAAGTCAATAAAAATATTTTTAAAAAGAAAGTAGTTTTACTGAAATATTTAACATTTTATTATTGTATATTAAGACACAGTACTAAATTATTTGAAGTGATTTAAAACAAAATTTAAGAAGAAAAAGATGCAAACATTAAATATTTATTTGATGAAATTTCTGGAAGCCATCCAGAAGGTAGCAAACTAAACCACATGTGACATCTGCTTTAAGACAAGCACAGGGTTGACATAGGCTGAGTGATTACATGTGATGGGGGTGACATTACCACTCACTGTCAGTAGACAAACAGGAAGTGCTAAAGGCTTGGGAAAGAGGACTAGCAGTTTTGAGTGAAGGAAAGTATCTAATAAGTAACTTAAAGAGATGCTATAGGTCCAGGGTTGGATAAAACTGGACAACAGAGAGTGAGGGAACAACAAAATAGGAAAGGTGTATGAAAAAAAAGCTCTGAAGTAAATTTTTAAAATTCTGCCTGAGGAAACTCCAGGACCACTATAAAGAGTTGGACAGTTGCACCTCACCAACTGGGCATATGGCAGCTGATGGTAGCCACACTCACCATGGTGTGCACACGTAGGGTTGTGTCAACCCAGGAAGAGATATGTTCTTTTTAAATGTACACAAGGTAGCACATGTGCCAGCAACATCCTTTGAAGCCACAGCTCAAGTTGGAGCTGCTAAATAAATGTGGGAAAACTAAAAACAGTTGACTCATTTTATTCTGGTGTAGGTGCTTAAGTTCTTAACAAACCTGAAATATGCTTTTAACATGAAAACTGTGATAGGATGGGTTGCTGTTCATCAATATTTATCCACCTCTCCCACTGTAGGCCCAAGTATTCTTCTCTGAACTTAGGCTTGGCTATGTGACTTGTTTGACCAATGGAATTTAGTATATATGACAGCGAGCAGAGACCTTAAACATTGCTAAGCGGTTTGGCCTGGCTTTTGCTCTCCAGTGATCAGCCACCAGAAAATCATGTAGTTCTTGCTAAGGCTCTAGAATGAGCATACTTGGAACAGGCCCAAGGCCAACTTCAAGCCTAAGTCAGTGCTGTCCAGCTGAGCCTATATGTATCCACTGAGACACAACTGACCTGCAGATGCATAAGCATGAGAGCAAATGCCTGTTGTTTTAAGCCACTGATCTTTAGGGGTTTTATGTTATACAACGCAGTACTGGGAAAACAGACTAAATAAATCTTATGCACCCTTTAGTGTTTTATCTGCTAATAGCTATAATCTAAGTATTTGTAGCTTATAAATCTTATTTTTTTAAAAATTTATTTTTAATGTTGAAAATGAACAATACAGAGGATAACTTATGAATCACAATAATGCTGCACTAGATTTAACAGATATTAATATATTTTTATTCCTATAGTTCAGAAAGTAAAAAAATGATCTACAGCTGAAAAGTCAATAGGACTAAGTAATTTTTAGCTAAATTCTAGATACTTAAAAAACAGAAAAATTATATAATGAAATTATTTTAACTTCTAAAAAAATAAACTGATATTACTATTAAATTTAAATGTTAATTATTAAAGAATCTAGAGGCCTGGTGCACAAAATGTTAATTACTACAGAAACTAGAGGCTTGGTGCATGAAATTCATGCATGGGTAAGTGTGTGTGTGTGGGGGGTCCCCTCAGCCCAGCCTGCACCCTTTCCAATCAGAAATATCCAACTGCCAGTTTAGGCTTGATCCCTGGGATCAGACATCTCTCTCACAATCCTGGACTACTGGCTCCTAATCGCTCACCTGGCTGCCTGCCTCGTCATCCCTAACTGCCCCCCTTGCCAGCCTGACTGCCTCTCACTGCCTCTGTGTGCCAGCCTGATTGCCCCTATCTGCCCTCCCTGCTGGCTTGGTCACCCCTAACTGCCCCCTGCTTCTGGCCATGTTGTCCCCAACTGCCCCCTTCCTGCCAGCCTGGTCACCTCACACAGCCTGCTTGTTCAGTCATTTGGTCATCTCTCACTAACCCCTCTGCCAGCCTGGCCATAGGCAGCCATCTTGTGAGGGAGTGTCAGACAATTTGCATATTACCTCTTTATTATCCTGTATAATAAAAGTATAATATGCTAAGGGTCTGGTCATCTGGCCATTCAACCAATCAAAGTATAATATGTTGATGATATTCTAAGGCCATTCAACCAGTCACTATGACATGCACTGACCACCAGAGGGAAGATGCTCTAACTAGTAGGCCAGCTTGCTACTGGGGTCTGGCCAGTCAGGACTGAGTAAGATGGGCCAGACATGCCCTGGAGCCCTCCCATGTCTCTCCCCGGCCCTGATCATGCACCAATGGGGTCTCTCACAATTGGGGACCTCTCAGAAGATGTTGGAGAGCAGGTTTCAGCTTGATCCCACCATCCAGACCAAGGGACCCCACTGGTGTATGAATTCATGCACTGGGCCTTTAGTATAAGATAATAGATAAAGGTATTCTAAAGATTCTTAGCCATTTATCTATTTTAATATTACCTCAGCACATTCTCTGTCAGCTTTCTGTACTCTTCTTTAGCATGTATGCAAGAGTAGTTTATTCTAGCTTTCCATCCCTTCAAATATTTTTATCCCTTTAAATTTAAATGTTCCTCTTTTATTTTCCTAACGTAGATTTTCATTTCAGTAATTTTATCTTCATCTGTATCTAAGTCCTTTCCAATGAGGTTTTATCAATGGTTCTTCTTCATTCTACTATCTGTCTTGCTTTCAGATCTTCCTGTCCTTTAATATTAGTTTCATTCTTCTCCTTATACTTCTTGTTTTGTCTAATGTTTATTTAAATACTTCTCATATGATTGATTACAGATTTCTCCATTATATAAAGTTTGTTCTTGGTGGGTTATTTCTTAGAGCATTATCCTCTCATGGCTTCAATCATCTGTGTGTTGAAAACCTCTCAACTTTTCCCTCTACATACATAAAATACAATATAACTCAAATACAAATGATTAGCTTTTCATAAATCAACTAGTTCTCCTCCAAGATTCTTAATGTGGCCAATGGCATTATTATTCATTCAGCTTCTTATCTTTAGACATCAGAATAATCTCCCAATTTTCTTTCATCTTCAACTTAAATCAAATCTATGAATCAGTTTCACTTAGTACATTTATTAAATGTCTCTTGATTTCTTCCTATGGAATAACTTCTGCTCTTGCTATTTTTTACATATACCAAGTTGCCATGCCAATTCACATCCAAATGGAATTCATATTCCATAATGGTTCCTCATATTGATAATTACTGCATTCAAACTTACCATCAGCTAGCTTTCAGGCATGTTTCAAGGTGCTATTTTCTCAATTCACTAGAAGATGTTACTTAATAGCACCATTCTAGATGCACAGGAGCAGAGTTAATTTATTACCTATAATAGATGCTCTAAAGCATCCGTTGAGAAGAATTGCTAATTACTTAGCATTAATATCAGAGTTTTACAATCAAGTCTGACTTGCTTCACTAGTATTTTCACTTATTTTTAAACAAAATATATGTTAGCAAAACTTCTGTTAATATTCCCTGAAAGAACAATTACCTTTTTACTCCTCTGGATCTTTCATAGGAATGATAACTTCTACTTAAAAAACTATCATTATACATAAATCTTAAAGTCTTTACACATACATAGCCTAAATTCCACCCAACAATCTATATCCCTGTTAGGATTCATCTTTATATAACTAGGTTCTAACACAGGAATTCAATATCATATAACCAGGCAGATAATATAACAGAAAGAAGCTGGCTAGTGGAAAACCTAAGAAAGTCATGGGAGAATGGCAGAGTTCCCATATATTAGTCACAACGGGCAGCACCACTTAGGTTCAGTCTGTTTTTTCCCCCCTTTTATGGAAATGTGGGCCCAATTTGCCACATTTTATTTTTTTCAAATAGAACAAGAAAATCAAGATTAAGTTATAAAACCTCCTGATTTTTAATATTTGCAACTAAATAACATGAATTATTAAGGCTAGGCTATATGTTGGAAAACAGCTGTGATGAAATTGCTCCATGTAGTAAGTACAAAGATATATTGTGGTTTCTAAAAATCATTTTTCCCCCCAAAATACATTTTTAATGATTTCATAGAGGAAGGGAGAGGGAGGAGAGAAAGATAGAAACATCAATGCTGAGAGAGAATCATTGATCGGCTGCCTCTTGCATACCCCAACCCGCAACCTGCACATGTGCCCTAACTGGAAATCAACCACTGAGCCATGCCAACTGCACTCTCAAACAATCAAATTTAATACAAAGGTAAAGGAGAGACCACAGAGATGTACAATTGGGTAGCTCATCTTATACTCTCTTTCTGAAAGCTCTCTTTGCATAATTGGAATTTTGGTAGGAACTCAACATGTCAGATCTTCTGAAGAGGACCAAGTGCATTGGCAGCCTGTGTTTCAAACTAACGAAGTATCAGAGGCTTTGGCAGTCAGATGTAGATGAAAAGGTTAACTTTATAGGACCTTCATACAAAACCACGTTTAAATATTAGTTGTTTTGCTTATATTTATTTGAGTGTAAGGCTCTGCTTTTTTTTTTTTCCATTTAGTATAATCAATACTGAAGCTCAAGGAGATTAATAACTTCCTTTCTGACCAAAGTTAAATATATGAGCAGTGTCTCCCTCTTGAGATATTAGGATACACATATTTATTTAATATATTTGTAACATCCTCACAACTTATATTATTATTATATTAGGAAAGAAATACCTATAAACATGATTACAACCCTTACCTCAAAATCAACATCTGCACAACAGCCACACACAAGACATGGACCAATAATTTTGAGTACATCCTCTCTCTTCTCATTTTGAATGGTTAACTTTGGCAGGCATGGATGCCAATTCTGAGTAACATAACCCACTGGTACACCAGGAGGAGCATAAATTTCTATCTACAAAAGCAAAAGAACATGTAAATTGTAATAATAATAATGTCTAATAATGACTCTTATTTACTGAATACATTCTAAGTGTCAGACACTGTTCTAAGTATCACTTGATTTACAACAAGTTGGTACTATTATCCCTATTTATGGAGGAAGTAACTAAAGAACAGAGAGTTAACTAACTTCATCAGATTCCCTAGCTGCAAAATAGACGAGATGAGTCACACACTCAGACAGGCTGCATGCATAGACTCCATAGACTCCACTATTAAGCACGGCTCTCTAGACCTATATATTTAAAAATTTCCATACTTATGAAATTCATGCATTGGGGAGAAGAGGGGCGGGACAACCTTCAGCCCAGCTTGCCTTCTTGCAATCCAGGACCTTTCAGGGGCTGTCTGACCTCATGATTTGGGCCTAAACCATCAGTCAGACATCCCTCTCACAATCTGGGACTGCTGGTTCCTAACTGCTAACCTGCCTGCCTGATTGTCTCTAACCACTTACCTGCCTGCCTGATCGCCCTGGTCTCTGGTCATTCTGGTTGTTGGGCTTTTATTATATATAATATTGAAATTATTAAGGAACTCTTTTCTCAAACTCCTATAAAAAACAGTGGTTTAGATATATGAATAGCATCTTGATTGCTGGTGCAATTTTCAAATCTGAGTGGCAACGGCTCTATAATGGAAAGGAACTGGGGCCTGGAATCTTGGCTCTGCTATTAGTGGGGTGACCTAGGGTGAGCATGTCAAACTTGGAGCCGTGGGCTACATGTGGTCCACGATGAATATTTTTGCAGCCCATATAACAGTAAGAAAAGTTTTAATAAAAATTTCATAACTTTTTACAATATCCAGTTATACATAATTATTAATAATGAACTACAACATTCGCTAATGACTGATTACTATAATCATGTTGCATTCATTTCCCTTATGCATCTTATGCACAGGTACACACACGATTTCTCTCCACTGATACTAGCAGCGAATATTTTAGCAGCTGATTGCCATGTGATTAATCTTGTACTGACTTTCTGGGTGTGCAATGGGAAATATTTTGCTTTTGGAGAACAAGAAAAATAGATTTATTTGTGTTACACGTATTAATTTGTGCAGCTATTCAGTGTCTGGTAAATTAACGCTCAAGAAAAAATCAGCATGCTCATGTGTAAGTGACATCATCCTAAACTATTTTCCAAGATCAATAGTATAATGTCTGTCAATGTGCTCTTTACATTAAGAGCATATTCCACCAAACTCTCAGTTTTTTCTCAGATATTCCTATGGATACTGTTATACCTAACCTAAATGACAAAACACAACATAATTCAGTAGGGATAACTTTAGTTACCTTTTGAAAATAAATGCAGTCTTGGACTTCAAATATCTATGTGCCTGTGCCTTGGTCTGTGACCTGGTCTCACAGCTACTTGTCTGGAATTACTGACCAGGCAGGGCTAGTCTCAAGCCAGTGGGATACAGACAAAGGCCAACTTTCCTGTATGCTCTCTGTTCTCTGGTGCCTGCCCTGAGATCCATGTTCTGTGCCAGTGAACTGACAAGTAATATGAAATAGACACCTGGGAACTGAAGATACCCAACACCTAGCATATACCTACTACAGATGCTCAAATGTAGCAATTTTTTTAAATGGGAAACTTAAGAACATAGGAGTTGAGATTTCTCAAAGGTAGTATCTCCTAGGTTTCTTCCATAATAGGTTCGGCCACATATCTGCTCTTTTCCTCATTCTTCTGTACACTTGCTCTTGGAATTGTATTCTAGGATAGTCTCTGTGTGCCCTCCTATAGCTTTCACCAGACCTCTCACGATCATTTATCTTTTCAACTCTCCCCAAAGTCTGACTCTGAGCAGAGGCTCATTCCCATGAGATTAACTTCTCAGAGCCAGGGGGTTAACTGTTCACTATTTTTCACCTGCCATCCTTCCTCTCCCAATTACTCTCAAATAGTTCATAGACCAATTTTTAGAAAATCTCATTTGATTATACAGGTTCAATGAAAGGGTGATAATTCTTGTTGAACTACTTTACATATTAGCTGGGTAAATGCTCACTGACCTCCTGAAGGCAGCAGGGGCAACAACAGCTGGTACATCTTAGTGGTCGCTGCAGAGTTATGACCTCTCGACCCATAAGATCAAGAATCCTCATGGTAAAAGGTCTGTTAGCCCCACAGCAATTTCGGGTACAGCAATCAGTATCTTCCACGGCAAAGTAAATCCTCTGTCCAAGGATGTTCTTAATTTCGTATTTGTTATTTGTTTCAAAACCTATTAAGACTAAAAACATAAAAGGGAGTAATTATGACCATTATAATAAAAGAATGTTGAACCTATCCTAAGATACTATAATATCTAGTTATACAATTTTTAAATGATAATTCATGTCACATTGGGAGAAAGCAAAGGAAAGGTGTTTGGAGATGATTCCAACAAAGGAAAAACAACAAAGGAAGAGAACTAGGAGAGGGTATGAAAGTATATAAAATTAAGAGTCCTGTGTGAGACATGGAAAAGAAAGCCCATATTCTCCTAATTCCATGAAATTGTGTCATAAAGGGAGACTTAAGAGCTCATACTATTTGCTCACCTTAGAAAGTCTTTCCAGCTCCTGAGCAACCAAATTCTAGCTAACCTTTAAGGGCCATCTCTGGTCCAACTTTCTCTGTGAAGTCTTCCCTTATCACCCCGGAAACGTAAGGTCTGTTTCTATATTTCCTTAAGACTATAAGCCCTCACTATTTCCTCTTAGTGCTTACTACTTTCTGCATTGTATTATTATAGTTTGTTAAAATACTGTGCCCACATTTCTTTCAGTGAAAAAAGACAACTCTTTTTCCTCATTCCTCTATATAGAAAGAGAAGTTACTGATGTGCTTCATCAGCATTCATGAACTTAAGTATAGCAAATTCACTGTTATGTAGGCCACTGTGTATTGGAGCATCATATGTGTAACTCCACTCTTTCCTTAAGTCCTAAGCTCTTGAAAATGTGACAATTTGGACTGGCCTCAGCAGTCTCTGCTTTTTCCCTGCCCAGCTCTCTATTCTCCTTCACATGTTAGAATTGATTAGTAGAATGATTTTCTACTTAGAAGAGTACTGGGTAGATCTGTTTGGGTACTCTGCCTTTTTATATTCACTCCCTCTTTGCTCACATACCCTAGAGGGCTGATTATTGTCTCAGATGGCGTCTAGCCACAGCTCTGCATCATCCCAACTTGCAGATTCTGTCCACTTTCTGGTGTTTTTGTACATAGCTCTGTGAAGAAGTTTTATTTGGAGAAAGTGATTCACAAAGCAAGACTCAAGTTTACATGAACCTTCTTGCAGAATAATATAAATTGTTATCAAAATTTACAGAAGCTAAAAAATATTAGGTTTATCTTTGCCAAATTGACTTGGCAATTCTTAGACACAAGGAAGGTTTTATAAACTACTAGAGGCCTGGTGCATGAAATTCATACATGGGATGTGTGTGTGTGTGTGTGTGTGTGTGTGTCGGGGGGTGGTGGATGGGTCCCCCTCAACCCAGCCTGCACCATCTCCAATCTGAGACCCCTCTCACAATCCAGGACTGCTGGCTCCCAACCGCTCACCTGCTTGCCTGCCTGTCTGATTGCCCCTAACTGCTTCTGCCTGTCAGGCTGATCACACCCCAACCACTCCCCTGCCAGCCTGATCAACACCTAACTACTCCCATGCTGGCTTGATTGCCCCTAACTTCCCTCACCTGCAGCCTGGTCACCACTAACTGCTCTCCCCTGCTGGCCTGGTCACCCCTAACTGCCCTCCCTTGCCAGCTTGGTCACCCTTAACTGCCCTCCTCTGCAGGCCTGGGTTTCCCCCCAACTGCCCTCCCCTGCTGGCCTGATTGCCCACACATGCCCTCCCCTGCTGGCCATCTTATGGTGGCCATCTTGTGTGTTGGAGTGATGGTCAATTTGCATATTGCCCCTTTACTATTTAAGATTTTTATTCTTTTAAATTATTTAATAATTTCTAGAATTATTTTTAGTAGCATTGTAAAATGCACTTAGAACTTATACTACCAAGTGTCACCAGTTTTAATAAATCAAACTTTTTTTCAGACACAGAGATCTTATTGTTACAATAGGCAGTTAGCTCTTAATGAAAAGAAAAGGGAGCCAGACATAGTTACGCCTGATTGAGTGGGGAAACAGCAGTTTCACAGTCAGCCTTGGAGGTAACCAGCATAATTTTATAGCCACACTGAGGAGCGGGGGCAGGTAACTGGCACCATTCTGCTGGATTAACCAAAGGAAGGAGAAAACTGGACGGGGAAATTCTTTTCATTGAGTGCATGTGCAGTAGAAGCCAAGATGGCACATAAAAGTGGGGGTTAGGGGTGACTAGCCCTGAGAAATCTGGGAAAAAGGTCTGGGAGGATAAGGGCACAAAACTCGGTGAGGGGAGAAATAGGGATGGACAGTGCTTCAGATGGTCACAATCATGCTAGGATATGCAGAATATGTCCACTTGCTTGGTACAGTTTTCAGATATTCAATTAGGGAGGGAATAAAGGATCATTACTATGTCTATGCTCTGTGAACTAGGATATAAAATAATCTGGATTATGGTTTTGCTTTATACTATGTCGCAGTATGTTAATAAATTTTAACAATACAAGGCAGGAAGTAGCTTACTTTGCACTGTGTGAGGAAAGATAATGAAGGAGTTTACTCTGAATGCCTATGTGAAAGAAGAAGGTAGATCAGAACATCACACTGGACTCAGGCACCTTTGTTGAATGCAAGAGTTATTCAGAGGTGGGAGGTGGTATTAGACAAGGAAAAATGTTCTTGGCAACCAGGCTGCAACTCACAGGATATCTAGACTACTGGCATCCTAAGGTGAACTCTGTGGCTTACAGGGGCTAATCTTTTCACAGGAGAAAAATAGATATGCTAAATACTGACACCTGCCTGCTCAGCTGAACCACACACTTGAAACCTCTCCTTGCTTATAGCCTGGAAGGAGCAATTCTTGGTCCCAATTGTTCAGAGCCCTCATTAACTTGGGTCATAGGATGCTGCAAGCCATCCAAATAACAAGTGATTAAAATAAATATATAGAGACAAAATTACTCTCTAATATGTGTGTAGATGGACTTTCATTCAGATAGAGACATTCTGTGCTAAATCTAGTCCCATGACCTCCCTCAAGTGTTTTTCCTCTGACTCATGCAGGCCCTATCTTCTAAGTGTTTCATTAGATAGCTTAATCTCAAAATCTTTAGTCTGCTTATCTATAAAATGAAATCAATGGGCTTACACAATCTATAAATTTCCTTCTATTTACTTAGAAAATGAAAAAAAAATCTATGGCTATGCCTTTATTGTTGATTAAGTTTTGAATTGGGAAATGTGGCTGCCATAGTCTCAGATACTAAAAATAAACAGTAATATTCATCTATACTATTCATAGTTAAAATACAGGCTTTCAATTTGAAATAAAAAACAAAATTAATGTCATCCCTTTTAAAAACTGAAGAGTTAATAATTAGTAAATTTGGAACTTTATATTTTATTAGAGGCCTGGTCCCCTCAGCCCAGCCTAAACCCTCTCCAATCCGGGACCCTTTGGGGGATGTCCAACTGCCGGACATCCCTCTCACAATCCTAGTCCACTTGCTCCTATTCGTTCACCTGCCTGCCTGGCCTGGTTGCCTCCAACTACCCACCTCTGTAGGCCTGGTCAGCTCCAACTGCCCATCCCTACCAGCCTGGTCACCCCACGCAGCCTGCTGTTCAGTTGTTTGGTAATCCCTTACTAGCCCTCCTGCTGGCCTGGTTGCCCCATGCAGCCTGCTTGCTCAGTCATTTGGTTGTTCCTCACTAACTCTCCTGCTGACCTGGTCATAGGCAGCCATCTTGTGAGGGTGTGAGGACCAATTTGCATAATACCTCTTTATTATATAGGATAATATATACTAGTATACACTTAAATATACATATATATATATATATATTGTGTATACATACATATATATATATATATATATATATATATATATATATATATATAATATATGTGTGTGTGTGTGTGTGTGTGTGTGTGTTATAGCTAAAAACTATGAATGGAGTACTATACTATATAGGGCCTTTTTGGGGCATCTATAATCTCAAAAATAAATTCCCTAGAACATATCATGAAAAAAAATTCAGAATACAAATTATCCACCAACAAAGAGCTTTTTTCCAGGAGTTTAAACAAACTAACAACAATGAGAACACTATAAATACCTTAACAATGTACATTGTATATAATCTGAATACAATAGATAATAATTTTATATTCTAATTGAATCTATTACCAACTAGTGAAATTATATAACTAGAGGCCTGGTGCATGAAGTTCATGCATGGTGTGTGTGTGTGTGTGTGTGTGTGTGTGTGTGTCCCTCAGCCCAGCTTGCACCCTCTCCAATCTGGGACCCCTTGAGGGATGTCCAACTGCCCATTTAGGCCTGATCCCTCTCACAATCCAGAACTACTGGCTCCCAACCACTCGCCTGCCTGCCTGCCTGATTGCCCCTAACCACTTCTACCTGCTAGTCTGATTGATGCCTAACTGCTCCTTTCCTGGCCCGATTGCCCCTAACTGCCCTCCCCTGCAGGCCTGGTCACCCCTAATTGTCCTCCCTTGCAAGCCTGACCCCCAAACTGCCCTCCCTGGAGGCATGCTCCTCCCAACTGCCTTCCCCTGCAGGCTTGGTCCTTTCCAACTTCCATCCCCGGCTGGCCTGATCGCCCATAACTGCCCTCCTCTGCCAGCCATCTTTTGTCCACCTAGGGAAAGCCATCTTATGTGTTGGCATGATGGTCAATTTACATATTACTCTTTTATTAGATAGGATTTCTACTAGTGGTAAGAAACTCTGCAGAGAGTGAAGAGTTTTCATTAAAATCTATATCTAGAAAAAAGACAGTATGGTTCATGAATCTTCCTGGCAGGAGTTTTGAAACATCTGGTGACTTCCTATGTTCATATTATATGTAAGGAGCACTGAACCCAGAGAGATATCTGTTGGAGTCAGACCCATTCACATGAGCAGGAATGCTGTTTTAGAAAGTCAGATCTCTGGGCCTGCTGATCAGCATCCTTCAACATTCTAAGTGATAATCCTCAGCCCATGGCAAAAAAATGTTTTACAGGGTTTATATGAACTTCCAAGAGAAACTGTTGGTAAGATTTTAATTGTCTACAACATACCCATCTAGATTCAAAACATGTACTCACTTTGGAAATGAACTAAGGATAAATGCATTACTGCTGTGTGCCAATCTCAAGGTTATCACATATTAGAGGAGAAAAAGCCAGCGTGAGAGAGACCAGGTAAAGTGATAAATCACTGAAGTGCTTTCTAGAGAGAAGAAGGAGCAAAAGTAAATTTTGGTTGGTTTCCTTCTAAATTAGGGTCTATATAATGAGGACAGATGCTCAGAGTAATAGTATTTTACCACTTGATTCCTAAATTCAAGAAACAAATTATCAGGATGAGAGACATTTGTAAATAACCAATTTTAATCATTCCAGACTTGTGAAAGTGTTATATTTGTGCTGTTGATATGCCTTTATTTGCACAAATGTCTTCTCTTTCTAGAAATATAATCAACACAATCAATACCTACCTTCTAGAAGCTCAACTTGCTGATGAATCAGTATTTGATCTATCTATTATAATAAAAACAGAAAGTTAAACTGTAGATTATATTAGCACATTTTTAAGCCAACCAAATTAACATCACTGTTTTTATATTTTAAAGCCCATGTGTCAAACACAAGGCCCACGGGCCAAATCCGTCCCGCCAGGCCTTGCAATGTGGCCCGCACCACGCTGTCATCACTGCACTCCGCTGCGTTTCCATCACAATGACAGTTTATGACTGTTCAGTAAACCATTCGGCCCGCGATTTAAGCTGGAATTTAGATTTTGGCCCCTTCTCTGATTGAGTTCGACACCCCTATTTTAAAGGATACATATAATCAATTAACAATACTTACTAATATTATCAATATTTAGTAACTTATATTACTTCTAGATATACCAGAAATTAATTTATATTTTATGGTTTTTTTTTAAAGAATAGTTTATGGATTTTGAGAGAGAGGAAGGGAGAGAAAAAAGAAACATCAATTAGCCCTAACCAGTTTGGCTCAGTGAATAGAGCGTCAGCTTGCAGACTCAAAGGTTTGATTTTGGTCAAGGGCATGTACTTTGGTTGCAGGCACACCCCCAATAGGAGGTGTGAAAGAGGCAGTTGATCAATGTTTCTCTCTCATTGATGTTTCTAAATCTCTATCCCTCTCCTTTCCTCAATGAAAAAATCAATAAAATATGTTTTTAAAAAAAGAAACAAACAAACAAACAACAATTAGCTGTATCCTGTACTCCACCCTGGGAATTGTGACCACAACCCAGGCATGTGCCCTGACTAGGAATTGAACCAGCAATCTCTCCATGCATGGGACAATGCCCAACCAACTAAGTCACACTGGCCAGAGCTAAAGTTAATATATTTTTAATTAAAAATATCTATTGAATGGCCTGGCCAGTGTGGCTCAGTGGTTGAGCGATAAATAATGATAATTATAACACCTAAATATCATAGAGCTTTTAAAAGGATCAAATGAGTTAATGCTTATACTCAGGAACAAATCCTAGAAAATGGCGCTTAATAAATGTTTGCTGTTGGCTAGTATCACAGATTATATTCAAGATTATAGAAAATACAACTTCCTAAATTATATATAGTTTGCTTTAAAAGTAAGTCTAATCTGCCTGTAGCTCAGTGGTTGAGTATTGACCAATGAACCAGGAGGTCACTGTTCAATTCTTGGTCAGGGCACATGCTCGGGTTGGGGGCTCCATCCCCAGTGTTGGTCATGCAGGAGGCAGCTGATCAATGAATCTATCTCATCAATGATGTTTCTATCTCTCTCTCTCTTTCTCTTTCTTTCTCTCTCTCTCTCTCTCTCTCTCTCTCTCTCTCTCTCTCTCTCTCTCTCTCTCTCTCTCCCTTCCTCTCTGAAATCAATGAAAATATATTTTAAAAAATAAAAATAAAAGTAAACCTGACCTAGAAGAATTAGAATAATTTGTTAGTAAAAAATGTTGTTTTACCATTTCAGACATTTGCTAATTAGCCATTTGTTTTTTTGTGGTTTTTTTGTTTGTTTGTTTGTTTGTTTTTAATATATTTTATTGATTTTGTACAGAGAGGAAGGGAGAGAAATAGCTAGAAACATCGATGAGAGAGAGTCATCGATCAGCTGCCTCTTGCACACCCCCTACCAGGAATATGCCTGCAACCAAGGTACATGCCCTTGACTGGAATCGAACCCGGGACACTTCAGTCCCCAAGCCAATGCTCTATATGCTCTATCCATTGAGCCAATCCGGTTTCGGCTAATTAGCCATTTGTTAATAAGTAAACTGGAAGCACAGTTTTATTTGAATAACTGTTTTAGGTACTTGAAATTACCTGACTTAAATATTCCAACCCTGGTGGACAGTGTGATGGAGGTGGTGGTGCTGGCATCCATGGTACTCCTGCTTGTCCACCTGGCTGATTATAAACTGGCTGGTGTTGGACAGGAGAGCCCACTGGACCAGCACCTGAATAGCTAGGTGGTGGGACTGAATTGTCAGCCTGAGGTACAGGATAGCTTGTCAGCATCCCAGGATAGGCAGCTTGCAAATCCGGGTAGCCAGTATGTCCTGGAGGTCCTGCAATATGAACAAGTGAAATAATTTGTAATTGTACCAAAAAATGGAAACATCAAGCTTTTGAGTTTATCCCATATCTACAAACAAATTTCAGCTTAGAAATCCTCTTTATATGAAGCTTCAAGTTCATGTTTTTATCTTTCATCAAATTTTTAATGAAATATCTGTGTTTTCATATACATTTATATTTTGAGAATTTTGGGCAGAATAGAGTTGGCTCAGGCCTTACTTTTACCATTCAACACTCAGATGAAATATGCTTAATATCTAAGAAAGCAAAAGAAAATTAGCAATGATCTAGAGTCATTTGCACAAATATTCTGGAATGCCTTCATGGAAAAGAGAGAGAACATTGAATAGAAGGTTCAATATAAAGGCTTTAGGAGCCAGGTTTCTAGGATCAAAGCACTCTGTAAAACTGGGACTTTAGAATTCTAAAAAATCATGTCATACACACACACACAAACACACACACACACACACACACTAGAGGCCCAATGCACAAAATTTGTGCATGTGGGAGAGAGGTCCCCCAGCCCAGCCTGCACCCTCTCAAATCTGGGATCCCTCTCACAATCCAGGACTGCTGGCTCTTAACTGTTCACCTGCCTGCCTGCCTGCCTGCCTGCCTGATCACCCCTAATCCCCCCCCCCCCCCCCCCCCCCCCCCCCCCCCCCCCCCGCCAGCCTGATCACCCTTAGCTGCCTCTGCCTGTGGGCCTGGTCACCCCCAACAGCCCCTCACTGGCATGGTCACCCCCAGTTGCTGCTGCCCTCTGGTGGCTTGGTCATCCCTAACTGCCACCATGCTGGCCTGTTCTCCCCCAACTGCTCCTCCACCAGCCTAGTTGCCTCCAACTGTACACCCTGCCAACCTGGTTGCCCTCAAATACCTTCCTGCTAGCCTGGTCGCCCCTCACTTCCCCCTCCGCTGAAATGGTTGCCCCCAACTGCTCCCCCTGCCTGTCTAGTTGCCCCACATACCCTGCTGTTCAGTCCTTTGGTTGTCCCTCACTAACCCCCCTGCCAGCCTGGTCACCCCATGCAGCCTGCTGTTTGGTCGTCCATCTTGTTACTTGGGTCATGACAGCCCTTGGCTTTTTATATGTTAAGATAGAGTGAACTGGGGACAGTTTTGTCTCTTCAAGTTATATTGGACAAGAACTGAGGATGTTTTTGGCTGTGACAGCTAGAAGGGAGGGTGGCACTGACATCTGGTGGACAGAGTCCAGAAATGCTGCTAAATATCCTAAAATGCCAGAAATGGCATGCTGATGAAAAAAAAAAATTTTATCCATCCCAAAATATTACAGTGCCGCTTTTGAGAAACCTGGTAGAGAGATATAGGCATATCATTCCTTCCAGTACTGGCCATGTCATTTTCTGGTTTAACAATTTCCCTGGAGTTTAATCCATTGTATAGTCCATCCTTAAGACCCTCTACATCCTTAAGGCTTGATCCAGCATGTATATAAAAGGAAAGCTTTTACTTGTTATCAAATGAAGATGATAATATGTTCAAGTAACTGCATTTTTATTGCTTGCACTTCCTTTTAAGCAGTAGTGTCTTTTCTGTGACTCTCTCTGAACACAATTAACCTCAGCTCCACATGACTCAAAAACACTCAGGATCAAATCTTCTAACTGATTGATTTCATGATCATAATTTTCTGAAGAGATGGATAATCAATATAATCAATAAAAATTTGCTTTAATGCTACTGATAACATATAGTCAACCAAAACAAATCAAGAACTACTCTGCCAATTTCATTACTGCACCTTCAATAAAGTACAATATTATAATAAATACACAGACAGATGGACAGACACACACATACCCTTTGGGGAATATCAATGATGGCTTTATTTTCATTTTATTCTTTCCAGTATTTCCCCAAGGGTGGTATGCGTACCCCCAGGGGTACGGGAAGAGTTTGGTGGGGGCATGCACTGCACCGTGCTTAGCTGCGCCTAATTCTACATTCTCATGAGTACAAGGGTACTCAGCATTATGAAAATTATAGAAGGGGTACACATATGTCAAAAGTTTGGGAAACATTGCAAACAAATGCTTTACCTTGGAATGCTGCTGGAGGATATTGAGGATGATACCCAGCTGGGAAATTTGTTCCTGGGTGAGGAGTATTCATTTGTGAATCTGTAATTCAAAGAGAATTAAGCTTTAACAAAATACACATTAAAAAAATATATAATGTCTGTGATAGATAACTTCATTTTCATGATCTTGTGCTATCTTGAAATAGAGTGAATTCTTCACTTAACATAATTGTGCCTGTTATCAGAATTATTTTGCCTCAGAATCCTGTGTCAAACAAATTTCCTTTAAAAAATTTTTAACTGATTTTTAGAGAGAAGGAATGGGAGAAAGAGAGCAACATCAATTTGAGAGTGAAACATCCTGCATGCATTTCTCTCCCTCTTCCCAACCAGGATTAAACCTGCAACCCAGGCATGTGTCACAACCAAAAATCAAACTGGCAACGTTTTTGGTGCATAGGACGATGCCCAACCAACTGAGACACACCAGCCATGGTAAACATATTCCCTTTTGGATAAAATGAAACAGCTAAATTCACAGGGGTTGAATTTCTAGTTTTCAATGCTGGATGAGTGTTCACTTCCATAGTTTGATTTTACTGGTATTAGAAAAGAGATGGTTTTAAAACCACATATAGAGTGTGAAGAGATAAATAAAACTAGGGGGATATGACAATGGTAATGGAAGAATTATAGATTATTTTAAAGGTATCTACAATCATGGAATTTCTTCATAATTAAAATAATGCATATATATTTATTTAAATACTAGTGTTTTGGTGCATGAAATTTGTGCATGGGGGGAGGGGGAGAAGAAGAGAGGGGAAGGAAGGAGTCTCTCAGCCTGGCCTGCATCCTCTCCAATCTGAATCTGAGACCCCTGTAGGATCAGGCCTAGGACAACCCCCTCGCAATATGGGACTGATCGCTCCTAACTGCTCACCTGCCTGCCTGATGGATCACCCCTAACCACTGTGCCTGCTGGCCTGATTGCTCCCAACTACACCCTCCTGCCGGCCTGCTCACCCCCAACTGGTCCCCTCTGCTGGCCTGCTCATCCCCAACTGCTCTCCCCTCCACCTCCCAGCCAAAATGATCACCCCCAACTGAACTCTCTTCCTGGCCTGATCACCCCCAACTGCATTCCCCTCCTGGCCTGATCAACCCTAACCACCTCTGCCTCGGCCCCGCCACCATGGCTTTGTCTGGAAGGATTTCTGGAAGGTCTCAAGGTATAATTAGCATATTACCCTTTTATTAATATAGATAGGATATGACATACTGCTGTAACTAAAACCAGTATTAGTCTATGAGAATACATACTTCATGCGATAGGAAGGCATTTAATAGATTACATTGTATACGTTGTAAGTAGTAGGAAATAAGAATAAAGATGCCAGCAGTTCAAACAAAGCATAGCATCCAAAGATCATCCCGATAACTATATTGCTGGCTCCTTTCTTTTTAGCCTCCTTAGGAAAAAAGGGTCCAAGGATGGAATAGGACATCATACAGCCCAAGTTCATGGAAGCAGCCGATATCAGGACAAAAAGCTGCTCTCTGGAAAGCCGGCTGGGTGTCCCTCTGACACTCGCATCCTTAGCAATAATATACACCCTGTGACTTTCCTTTCTGATTTGGGAATGGTTCCCCAGGTCTTTGAACATTTCCTAGCCCCTAATGGTTTTTTGTTTGTTTGTTTGTTTTTTGTTTTGTTTTTTTGTCATTCAGTGTAACTTCATTTACTGTTTATTGCACATGATTTGAAGTCTTTAATTTCTAACCACCAAAGACTCAAAGGACTATTTTTTCCATGAAGTTTAACATTAACATCAGTGAATTCATACATTCATGTGTTTTTATTGTAAATGAATTATTTACATTGTCATAGATGCTGAACTCATAAGCGTGGACCATGCACAGGCTGGCAGTAAGCCAGGAAGCCACTCTGCAAGCAAACAGATACTCTGCATAAGGAGAAAATTCATAGCATAACATTTAATGTCCAACCTGAGTCACCTCATATATTGACTTCTTAATTCATATAGTATCAGGCACTCAACTGCGTGATTGGTGACAAGGTTGTCCTGGTTTTGGAAGGATTATTCCTGAAATAATTAAGGAAAAGGGGCTCAATCTTTTTTCTTGGTTGCTTGCTCCTCTTCAGGACTTTCATCTTTCTTCTCATCCTCAGCTTCTTGGGCATCTTCTCCTTCACCTTCACCTCCTTTGTGTCCTCAAATTCTTCCTTGGTACCTTCTTCCTCTTCCTCTCCTTCCTTTTCATCAGCCACTTCCTTCTCCTTCTCCTCCTCTTCAGCTTCTCCTTCAGAGGGGTGTTCATCCTTAACTTCCTCTGTTTTTGCAGCCTCAGTGGTCTCCTCCACTTCAATCTGCTCCTCCTAGATGTTGCTGGTGTATGAAGAAGGGAAGGAGCAAACAGACATCAAGTAGGAGCTAGTTTGTAAACCACTGTAGGCAGATGGACCAAAGATCTGGGAACTCTGGGAGTAGGCACTGGCTATGCTTCCCACGCTGGTGAAACTGAGATGGGTCTCCTCACCTTCTAAGAATTTCCTGTAAGCTATAATGTCAATGTCTAAAACTATCTTCACATTGAAGAGATCCTGATATTCTTTTAAATATTATGACATTTCACTCTTTGTGGTTCTCAACTCATTTTCTAATTTGTTGATTGTGTCCTGCATAGCACTAACATCAGCATTCTGCTTATCCTCCAGCTCTCACAGCTGCTTTTCTAGAGCTTAGTTCATGCCCTGGCATTCTTTGATGTCCAGGGTCTTGGCCTTGAGCAGGTGGCGGCTTTCAGACACCTCCTCCTTGGTGGTGTGCATGCCATAGGTGTTCTTGGCAGTGCTCTCGGTCAGCATGATGAAGCAGATTTTGTACCATTCTTCTGCATTCTGCATATTCTTGGCAGCCAGCTTCTTCTACTGGGCACAGATGTCCTTGAACATGGCAGAGAGGTCGGACTTGGAGAACATGTCTATCTTCACAGAGATCTGAGAATACTGGATCTGTGCCTGCAATTCAGTGATCTACTCTTCATGCACCTTCTTCAGAAAGGCGATTTAGTTAATCAGGCTGTTGGTGTGCTTTTCAATGGTAATAAACTACCTAACCCTACAACTCAAAGAGTTAGAAAGAGAGCATCAAGAAAAGCCCAGTGTAAGCAAAAGAAAGGGAATAATAAAGATCAGAGTGGGGATAAATGACACAGAGACCAAAGGAAAAATACAAAAGATCAACAAAACCAAGAGCTGGTTCTTTGAAAGAATAAACAAGACTGATGAACCTCTAGCCGGGCTCACCAAGAAGCAAAGAGACAGGACCCAAATAAACAAAATCAGAAATGAAAGAGGTGAAATAACATCAGACCCCACTGAAATTCAAAGGATTATTAAAAAATACTATGAATAACTCTATTCCAACAAAAAGGACAACCTGGAGGAAATGGACATATTCCTAAAAAAATATAACCTTCCAAAACTCAATCAGGAAGAATCTAAACAGCTCAATACGTCAGTCAGTAACTATGGAAGAAATTGAAGCAGTAATCATAAAGCTTCTAGCAGACAAAAGCCCATGGCCAGATGGCTTCAGGGAAGTTTTCCAAACATTCAAGTAAGAACTAAAATTTATCTTCCTCAGACTATTCCAAAAAAATTCAAGAGGAAAGAACACTTCCAAACTCTTTCTATGAAGCTACCATCACCCTAATACCAAAACTGGATAAAGACAAAACAATGAAAGAGAATTACAGGCCAATATCCCTCAGGAACATAGATGCCAAAATACTCAACAAAATTCTAGCAAATCGGATCCAGCAGTACATCAGAAAGATCATCCACCATGACCAAGTAGGATTTATCCCAGGAATGTAAGGATGGTATAATATCTGCAAATCAGTAAACGCGATATATTACATAAACAAATTGAGAGATAAAAATCACATAGTCATATCAATTGATGCAGAAAAAGCATTTCACAAAATCCAACACCCTTTCTTGATAAAAACTCTCAAGAAGGTGGGAATAGAAGGATCATACCTCAACATAATAAAAGCTATCTATACTAATAAAAGAGAAAGATGCTAATTGACCATACCTTTGCTACACCCACAATCAGGAGTGATATGAAAATGAATCCAACTAAGATGGTAGGTAAATTTACATATGCAGGTGGGGCAGGCAGTGCATGACTTAGCCCACAGGGTCCAGGCTGCCATGGATCACGCAGGCCTAGTGGGCAGTCTGATGTCGACCGCAAAGTCTAGGTAGCACTGTCCATGGGGTTCAGGCCATAATCGGGACTGGGCAGGTGGCATGAATATTGCCTGTCACCTGCAGGGTCCAGGTGGTGATTGGGACTGGGATGGCCCAGCAGATAGCGCCTGATGTTGCCTGCATCCAGACTTTGATCTGGACCTGGCAATTCAGGCAGGCAGCACCTGACACTGCTCTTGGGGTCCAGGGAATGATCGGGACTTGGCAAGTGGCATGGAGAGCGCCTGACACTACCCTCGGGGTCCAGGGGTGATCAGGACTGGGCAGGTGGCATGGACAGTGCCTGATGTTACCTGCAGGTCCAGAGACAGGAGTGGCTAGGGTCTCAGGGATCACTGTCTGACTCTAGGCCACCTGAGGGCAGTGGTGGAACAGGCCCTGGATGAACATTTTAATGAAAATGCAATGCCTGTGCCCCGCCAGATCACACCCTGTCCCTGGAGAAGAGAGGAAAGTAAGCAGTTAGGAGGCACCAGGGCTGTGAAGTGGCTGGGAAGGAGCTACCAGGTGAGAGGGCAGGGCAGGGCAGGGCAGGGCTAATTCCTGACTCCATTTTGTACAGTGGGGCAGGGCGGAGCTATTCTCCATTTTGTGTAACTGGAACTTAGCCCTCACCCAACCATTCAGGGTCAGCCAAAGCAGTGACATCACCACCCCTATAAAACCCCTTGACCTGTTGAAGCCCATGTTCTTTAGCCATGCCAATGTGTGAGTGGGACAGAACCCATACTAGCATGGAATTCAGTTGAGATCTACAAGATGCCCAAGAAGCTGAGGATGAGAAGAAAGATGAAGATGCTGGGGAGGAGCAAGCAGCCAAGAAGAAAGATTGAGCCCCCCTTTCCTTAATTATTTCAGGAATAATCCTCCTGAAACCAGGTCAACCCCATCACCAACCAAGCAGTTGAGTTCCTGATACCATATGAATTAAGAAGTCAATATATATAACATTCTGCTGAAACCGGTTTGGCTCAGTGGATGGAGCATCAGTCTGCAGACTGAAAGGTCCCAGGTTCGATTCTGGTCCAGGGCATGTACCTTGGTTGCGGGCACATCCCCAGTAGGAGGTGTGCAGGAGGCAGCTGATGGATGTTTCTCTCTCATCAATGTTTTTAACTTTCTATCCCTCTCCCTTCCTCTCTGTAAAAAATCAATATAATATAATATAATATAATATAATATAATATAATATAATATAATATATATATCATTCCCTCCCTGTACAGAAAGCTAAGGAAGAGAAACTAAATGGACTCCAAAATAGAACACACTTGTTCTTATTTGATTTTTTCCTTCCTATTTGATTACATTATTTTGAGTCTTAAACTACAAGTTTGTAAGGATGAGTATCTGTTGGAAAAAATACTGTGTAATACAATCCGGGCCCTCATTTTCCCATAGTGTTTAAAATTTTCACTATTATGTAATACCTCAAGTATAAAAATGGTATGTTATAAGCTGTGGTGGAAAATGTTAAGTGACAATTGTACCTGTGTATATGCCAGGTGGAATAAAGCACTTGTGGATTAAAGATATCCACCATGTTCATCCTTGTTCACTATTTGCTGTTTTAAGAATCTTTTGATTTTCTCAAACTCAATGGGTCTACCATAAGACATAACATCACTCAGCTTTGGAAATGACAGAACTGAGTCTTGGGTGAATTACAATAGTTCCTTAATTAACATGATACCTTTAATTAAATAATGCCTCCCACTACTCTATAAGAAACAAATTCAAAAAAAAAAATCTACCAAGACAGAGAAAGTCATATTTATCCTATACAGCAGTGGTTCTCAACCTTTCTAATGCCGCGACCCTTTAATACAGTTCCTCATGTTGTGGTGACCCCCAACCATAAAATTATTTTCGTTGCTACTTCATAACTGTAATTTTGCTACTGTTATGAATCATAATTTAAACATCTGTGTTTTCCGATGGTCTTAGGCTCTACAGCAGCGGTTCTCAAGCGACCCACAGGTTGAGAACTGCTAGCAGGGTCGCCTAAAACCATCGGAAAACACAGATATTTAAATTACAATTCATTAACAGTGCATTTAACAAGCTTTAGTTAACACTGAGGACAAAAATATTTTATCTGTTTTGGTAAAAGATAAGTAGACTAAACCAAATGAATTTACACAGATGTTGAGTCCACCAGACCACCACGTACATGTACAAGGTATGGGATGGAAGTGAGATGGCTAAGGCTGCTTTATAAAAGCAAAGTATTTGGTAATGGGGAGTCTTCCTATAAAAGTCTGCTCCTGCATTTTATGTTCAAGGAAATAAAACAAACATGCTCAGAACCACTTTGGGATAGCATTTTATAGTAAATTTTGAAGATAAAAGTAGATACTGCATCATCTGGGACCAACTGAGAAAGTGGTAGTCAAATGTTTTACAAAACTAACAAGTAAACCAAAAAGACAAAAGGAACAAAAACAATTTTGTGTCAGTTATCCTGGCATGGGTGCTTTATTCCTCCTGCAGAGCCTTTGCTGACAATTCCCAGAGTTCCCTCACAAATTTATTCTCTTTCCTTTTTATAAATGAGGAAACTACACCCAAAGAGTGAATGGTTACTTAATGCTCACTCACTAGTTGAATTAAAATGATTTATGGTTCATGTGCTTTACATTCATGTGCTTGATTCATTAAAAAAATTTTCCCAACTTGTCCAGTTTCAGTAAAACTTGTTAAAAAACTATCTTTATGGTACCTCTCTTAATAATTTCAAATTTACTCATGGCCATTTTGTTTTTAATAGGCCAGGCTAGAAATTTTGTAAGCACTTACTGCATTCAAAAGTTTAAAACTGAAAAGCACAGTAGTTAGTACTAATTAACAGCTGTGCTTTGATTTTTTCAATTTAGCACTATTTAAGAAAGTGTTATACAGTGTGTGTATAAACGCATATATAATGAACATATACATTTACAAATATTGTGTAAATATTAACTTAATATAAAATTTGTGCCTTTTTTCAAAGAATATTGATGAAAGGCATTGAGCATGTAAAACTGTAACAATCACTAGAACAAAATGACAGACAATAGTTTATTATGAACATACTAAATGCTATAAATAAGTAAAATGGTGCTATAATAGAGTTATGGGGGCACCAGATTAGATAGTTGAGGATGTGTGTGTTAAGGAAGACAGATCCCAGAGTTGACGGAAATGTGTGTGAAGAGTGGGAAAGATGTGGCATTACAGATAAGAGATAACTGCAAAGGTAGAGGTCCTGAGGCTGAGGGAGCTTGTGTCATTCAAGAAAAGGAAAGTTCTGTGAGTTACACACTAGGAGGAAGAGGTCAGTAGACATGAGGATGGAGTTCTCACACATTCACAGTCTCCAGCTACACTTTACCCTCTGAAAGGCCAGAGTACAACCAGTCCAAGATAAGGCACTTAATTGGTGCTTGTTGATTCAATAGGGTGTGTACAGTATTCATTCCTTTCAGTCAGAAAGAATAGCTCCCTTACAGATTTGAAGGCTGCTTAATCTCTTATGACCTAGCTATTTCAAATGCCACTTTTCTACCTAAGTGCAGAAGTCCACTCATTTTACAATCAGCCTTGTGTTAGTTCAGCCTTCAAACTCTTCCAATCGCCAGGGTAGTATTAAGAGGAACTTCTGCTGTTACAAAAATTCAAGGGAGAAAGTGATTCCAAATCACCTGACACTTGACACTAAGCAAGGGACACTTTGCACAATACTAATCATGTTCTGGATCTTGCTAAACTAGGAGAAACAATAATTTCCTGCCTGTTCCTGGAACAGGGAAGTTCCCATGCCAGAATTCCAGGAATAAATAAATGTATAAATAAAACCCCAGGGAACCAGATAGCAAGCACTGAGAAGCTGAACTTTGTCAAATATTCAAACAATAAGAATTGATTTTCACTGAGTACTTTCCGCAGTGCCAGATCCTGACCTAACAAAGCTCACTAATTCAGACAATACTCTAACTCTTATAAATCTTAATAGGTGTACAATTTCCAGAATGAGGTAATGAAGGAACTGGCTGGAAGTCCCAGATATTAAGTAGTATAGGCAGGATTCAGTCAGGCAGGTGGACTCCTGAGATAATGGTCTTGGCCTCTACAAACCGCCTCTATCTTTCCAAAGCTGATGTTTCCAGGGTGCCAGGCATAGTTCCACCTACGCTCCTATTTAGTGTTTACTGTTAAAGGATAGCTAGCAGGCTTTATTACGCGTCCCTTACAACTACCCCCATGGGCTGGCAGATCCTTCTGGGCCCAGGTTCGTGCCTTGATTCAAGGTGCTCTTGGGGCTGTGAAAACGCCCACTAGAGAAAGGGAGCCTGTTCGGCGGATTCCGCCAGGGATCCTCCTCAGGGCAAGTTCCTGGCCTGGAGCTCCCGCGGGCAAGCTGGGCCCTTCCAGAGCCCGGGCTCCACTTGTCAGAAGTCAGGTGGTTTCCCCTGACTCCTAGGATCCCTGTCCCATCAGGTACCCGCCAATCTCTGTGCAAGCTCAACCCGCCGCCTCGCGCCCCTGTGTCACAAAGCACCCCTGAAGTCCCGAACCAGGAGGCAGAGAACGCCCCGCTCACCTGTGGCTGCCGCTGCTCCGTGACTGCCGCGCAGACCAGAAAAGGGAATCCCGGGAAGGCGGTGGCTCTGCTTCCTTTGGCCCCTGGGTGGCCCTGAGCGGAGGGTTACACAACCTCCCCGGAAGTCACCAGGGAGGGGCCTCCTAGCGACCTTGGCGCCGAATGCGTATTTAGTTTCGTTTCCTTGATCCTACGTATACAAAAGGGTTCCCTAGGGTCTCGCGAGCTTGTCTGGTAGCTGCTGGATGGGGAGCTGCTGGAGACCACTGCTGCCCTCCTCTGGACCGACTGATTCAACATTACATTGACTCTGTGGCTCAGAGCAGCAGGGCACTGGGCCCCAACACCCGCTGAAACTGGGGGTCATTACCAGGAGTTGGCTGCAGGGGTGGGGTTGAAGGCACTTCCTGAACTCTGGCCTTGACCTTCATCTCTTACATTCCTGTCACTTTCAAGGGTGGGAGCAGTGAGTGGTTCAGAGCTTGTTTTCCTTTATGGAGTCTTTTCACTTTAGCTCTCTGGCTCTTTGTCTCTCTCAGTCTTTGAGTCTTAACTCTTTTTAAGAATTAAACCAACCAGATGTCTTTAGAATGTTTAGTTTTTCAAGTCCCTCAGACTGGCAACCAAGCACAATAAATATCTGAGCTGAACTCAAGAATTTATTGATTTCTTTTAAAATTTTCATTTACAAATGTAATACCTGATCTTCTACACAATAAAAGCGAAATAAGACAGTCTGAAAAAGACAAGTATCATATGCTCTCACTAATATGTGGAGTCTAATGAACAAAATAAACTGATTAACAAAATATATCCAGAAATATAGAAGCATGGAACAAACTAAAGAATTTCAGAGGGAAGGCAGGAGTGAGGGGAGGAATGATTAACTGGGGGACTTATATGCATATATGCATAGTCCAAGGACACTTGGAGAAGGCCTGGGAGGGACTGGTGCAGGGTGGAGAGGATCAATGGGAAAACAAACAAAGGGTACATCTGTAATGCTTTCAACAATAAAGATTTTGAAAATAATAAAAAATAAAATTTTCATTTATAAAAGTAACACATGATCTTATACACAATAAAGCCAAATATGGAGAAAAGAAACAAAAGATACTTTCTGCACCCCATTATTTTCCCCATGACACTTAATAGACATTTGAAAATTTACTGAGAGAATAGGGAGGTGGTAGGAGAGAAGGGAGTTGGAAGGGAGAGATATAGGAATATTGAGAAAATAAGACTGAAAAAGGAGGGAGGAAACTATTAGGGTCAAGGAAGGAGGTACCAATGAGGCCAAAAGTGGTAAAGAATTATAAATTTACTAAAGGCCTGGTGCAAAAAATTTGTGCACTTGGTGGCCAGGGGTGTCTCTCAGCCTGGCCTGCACCCTCTCCCAGTCTGGGAGCCCTCAAGGGATGTCCTACTGAAATCCAGCTGTAGGACATCCTTAGTGCTGCCTAGGAGGTGGGGGAGGCTCCTGCCAGGCCACTGTGGTCACCATCTGTGAGCCTGGCTTCTGGCTGAGCAGCACTCCCACAGAGAGCACTGACAACCAGGGAGAAGCTCCTGTGTTGAGCATCTGCCCCCTGATGGTCAGTGTGCATCATAGCAACAGGTTGTGATAGTCAATTTGCATATTAGCCTTTTTTTTGTTTATTTATTTATTTTTCAATTTTTTTAAATTAAGGTATTACATGTGTACATATCTTTCTCCCCCCCCCCCACTCCCATACATGCCCTCACCCCCAGTGTCTTGCATCCATTGGTTATGCTTATATGCATACATACAAGTCCTTCCGTTGATCTATTATCTCCCCCACCTCTCCCTAATGTTCCCCCTGTAATTTGAAAGTCTGATGCTTTACTGTCCCTGTATCTATCTTTGTGTTTATCAGTTTATAATGTTCTTTATTATCCACAAATGAGTGAGATCATGTGGTATTTTTCTTTCATTGGCTGGCTTATTTCACTTAGCATAATGCTCTCCAGTTCCATCCAGGTTGCTACAAATGGTAAGAATTCCTTCTTTTTATTCAACAGCATTGTATTCCATTATGTAGATGTATCATAGTTTTCTGATCTAGTCATCTGCTGATGGGCATCTAGGCTGTTTCCAAATCTTAGCTATTGTAAATTGTGCTGCTATGAACATAGGAGTGCATATATCCTTTCTGATTGATGTTTCTAGTTTCTTGTGATATATTCCTAGAAGTGGGATTACTGGGTCAAATGGGAGTTCCATTGTTAGTTTTTCCTTACTGTTCTTTACAGTGGCTGCACCAGTCTGTATTCCCACCAGCAGTGCACATATTAGTCTTTTATTCTATAGGATTGGTCATCTAGAAAACAGATGAGTTGAGCCCCACAGTGGTGCCAGCACCCAAGGATGGGGAATCAGAGATTTTAAAAGACTCTTGGCAGACTTTTTCAACAGGGGATTCTCTGGACAGGTCCAGATCCTGGGCAAGTCAGGAGGGAAAGTTACTGGTCTTAGCAAATGGAAGATGGTTGAAGCTAAAGGGAATGTCGGTTTCCAAATGATCTACAGGTCAGTTTTCCAGGAGAAGGGGACATAGATTCAATTATTTGATCAATCCTAACAAAAACTAAACATTCTAAACACATCTGGTCAGTTTAATTCTTAAAAAGAGTTAAGACTCAAAGACTGAGAGAGACAAAGAGCCAGAGAGCTAAAGTGAAAAGGCTCCATAAAGGAAAACAAGCTCTGAACCACTCACTGTTCCTACCCCTGAACAAAAAATTAAGATACCTAAGAATAAAGTTAGCTAAGGAGGGGAAACATGCAAATTATAACAACAATGAGGTATCATCTATACCTCTCAGGATGGCTACCATCAACAAATCTATAAACAAGTGTTGGTGAGGATATGGACAAAAAGGAACCGTCAAGCACTGTTTGTGAGATTATAAATTGGTGTAGCCACTAACAAAAACAGTATGTTCTGTCCTAAAACAAATTATGGAACTGTCTTATGACACAGCAATTCCACTACTGAGTATTATTCAAAGAAATCTGAAACACTAATTCCAAAAGATATATGCACCCTCCTATGTTCATTATAGCATTATTTACAATAGTCAAGGTATGGAAGAAATCTAAGTGTCTATCAATAGACGCATGGATAAAAAAGAGGTGGTACACATTCAATGGAATATTGCTTAGCCATAAAGAAGAACAACATTTTGTCATTTGCAACAACATAGATGGACCTCGAAACCCATGTTAAATGAAAGAAGCCATGCTGTAAAGGCAAATGTCTTATGATTTCACTTACATGTGGGATTTGAAAAATAAAAGAAAAAGAAACAAAACAGAAACAAACTCATAGACACAGAGAACAAATTAATGTTTGCTAGATGGGAAGGGTGTCAGGGTGATGGATGAAAAAGTGAAGAAATTAAGTATAAATTTCTGGTTATAAAAAGTCACAATCCTGAGAAGTATAGCATAGGGAATATAGGCAATAAAATTGTGAAAATTATGTATATTGTCAGATTACTAGACTTATTTGAGTGATCTCTTGTAAGATATAACATTTCTAATCAATATAACTGAAAGTGACATAATATTGTAAATCAACTATTATAAAAATAAAAGTTTTGTACTGATTTAAAAAAAATAAATAAACAGGTGTCAAGAAAGAACTCATACTGGATGTTCTGGAATGCATACAGGAAGCTTTCTAAAAATAGATGCAAATTCCAGAAGTCAAAAGTGGAAAACACTGTAAAAGATTATTAAAAATGAAAACTATGTATTGCTAAAGCAACTTATAATTAGACATATTTCTGAGACCGTCTAGGCAAAAGGATTATACCTTATTAATAGATCAGGGATTCAATCCACAGTATATAAAGAGCACAACAAATAAGGAAAGGGGTGTCCCAATCCAACAGAAAACTATATTAAATATCAGACAAATCACAAAAGAAAATAGTAGAATTTTCAGTAATATGAAAAAATTACTCAATATTACTAACAATCAGAATTAACAAAAACAATAATAAGTTAATATTTGCCAATCAAAATAGCAAACATTTGGAAATGATATTTAGGATGTGGAGAGATGTGGTAAAACAAGCATTCTCAGACTATATAGGCAGGCAGAAGAACAGAATGAAAACTTTGTATGGTGTGTACAGAAAGATATGTGCCAGAGTAGGCACTAAATACATTTTTAAAAACATAAACAGAATTATTTTATGTAAAGTGTTCTCTCATGTGTTTCCACTTTATGAAACATCTTGAAAATATCTTTACCCTTAATACACAACTGAATGTTGATGTAGTCATTACAGTATACTTTGCTCCCAATTTCATGATTACAAATTATGTTATGGTCATAATCCTTTCACATATCTTTCAGGTTTTCTCTTCTTAGCTAACTTTAGTCTTAGGTATCTTAATTTTTTGTTGCAATGGAAATGGAATTGTTAGATTAATTTCTCTTTATGTGAATTGATTATTGTTGCATAAAAAAAGCCACAGATTTCTGGGTGTTAGTTTTGTATCCTGCTACATTGCCAAATTCATTTATTAAGTCTAGCAGTTTTTTTATAGAATCTTTAGGGTTTTCTATGTACAATATCATGTCATCTGTGAACAATGACAGTTTTATTTCTTCTTTTCTAATTTGGATACGTTCTATTTTTCTTTTTGTCTGATCGCTATGGCTAGCACATCACTATGTTAAACAGGAGTGGTGGAGGACTTTAGAGAATCCAAGATGGCTGCCCAGGTAAACACCTAGCCGCAGCCACACACAACAATTCAATAAAATACAACTAAAATATAAAATGGACATTACCCAGAACTACAGGAAAGTCGACTGACTGGAAATTCTACAATGAGAAGCAAGGAGAAAACCAGAAGGAAGAGCGGAGGAGCTGTATAAGCCTAAGGTATGGAGACACGCAGCGCCTGGAGAGGACGGAGCCGGAGAGGAGGGAAGCCGAGTGCCTGGCTGGCATTCCCTAGCAGGAAGGAGATAAAAGCTCCGACTGTGCTGGGCCCCAGTTCTGACTGCTCTGAACCCCAGTTCTGGGCCAGACCCCGGAACCCAGGCTCATCCAGAGGGAGCTGGGCTGTAAGGTGGAACCCTGGGGAAGTGGCGAAAGGAGGTCCCAGAGGTGCACACATTGCACGCAGAGAAGGGATG